AATCAAGTAGAGGCATACTAGTGACACTTTGTTTGTCTATGTATTCACACATGTATTATGTTTCCGGTTAATACAATTCTAGCATGAATAATAAACATTTATCATGATTATAAGGAAATAAATAATAACTTTATTATTGCCTCTAGGGCATATTTCCTTCACCGATCCCCCCTCCTTCCGCGATGGTGGCATAGCCGCCGCCGCTGCAAATGGGGTCGTTGAGGATTTGTTCGCCATGGCCGCACCCTCTCCATCTGCTTCCCCCCGCCATGAGCGCCGCACCAAAGCGAGGAGATGCAGCACCACCAGCCTTGGATCAGGTAGACGCCGTCGCCACCCCGAGCCACGCTGGATTCCACCACCTAGATCCGTCGAAAACCCCAACCCTAGCGTAGGAGGACAGTCGCCTGGCGATCGCCCCCTATCGCCTTAGCGTCTTGAGACCTGGTGGACCCCTCGCCTCCTTATGCTTAACCTAGCTTTCGATCTCTCTTGTTTCTTTGCTGTGTAGGTGTACTTATTATAAGCGAACTCAGTAACTTTTCATTGCACAACGAGCGGATCGATTATTTCGGCTCGTTTTCCAGCCTGCCTTGCGCTGCTCATGGGCTGGAGAAGACTGACCAACTGTAAAAAAAAGTGCGAAGAAGCACAAATAGATGGTGAAGTTAACTTGGACATAACATGTTACATCTAAATGAATTCTAAATATACCCTAAAGAAATAAGGTAGTGGTGACATAGACGGACCCTTAAATGTTTTATCAGGATTTGTTGTAGTTGCAAACTAAAGTTGTCATTTTTGTGACAATATAAATTGGCATAAAAACTGTTCGATTTGAAAACTAAAGTTGCCATTCCCGAGCAAACGTCAGCCAAATAGCATTACCGTCAAATTTTGTCTAGTTTTATCTAAACCGTGTTTCGCATGTTTGAAATAAGGAAATAAGGGATTTTTGTATGCTAGTTTTGGATGGCTGGCGTCGGACCGACCGTTCAAGCTTCAAGCAGGGGCGTCAGTTTGAGGTGTTCCCTTGGAGATGCCCTAATCTCGAATCCATCGTACCCCTCCATCCAACGGTGCAGAGACAGTTCCTGCTACCTCGCAAAATTGCCACCCAGCCACACAGACCCCCCGCCGCCGCCGACGCCGACGCCTCTAACCCCCGCCTTTGGCCACCTGCACCTCCCCGAGCCAGAAATTCCTTTTCCGTGCCCGTCGATTCGCGGGAGGCGCCATGGAGCACGGTTCGGTGGCGGATTCCAGCGCGTCGACCTTCTCCGTCATGGAGGAGGATCACACCCTCGCCAACTCCGTCAGATTTGTACTCAACCAGGAGTGAGTGACGTTTCTCCATCCTTTTCCGCTTCCCCTTTTGTAAAAGAATCCATCTCTATGTGTGCGGTATTGCTAATTCTACGGCGGAACTGTGGACGCATGATTAGAGAAGAGAAATAGTGTTCTCGTGTTAGTGCTGGACTTTTGGTTGTTTCTAGCTTCTTGCAATGTTCGATACGGAGTGCAGAGATAGACATGGATTTGTGGTGGGATTATGTCAATTTTAGTGAGAAGCTTGTTTGGAACAGAGCAATTGAGCATCCGGATCAACAGGAACCGCAAATAATATTACCATCTGCTGGCCAAGGCTTTGATCTTTGGTGCATGCCATGGGAGTAATGTGCTGCAACGGGGGCAAGATGGCCAAGTTTGCATCCTTTCTAGGACCATGGCCACTGCGCCAATGATTCTTTCTTATTTTTGTCCCGGAACCATGAAACCTAACATACATGTCCCAACCAATACTGGTAGGAATGTTCACACCAAAATAGCCTAGACACATGTCATCGGTCAAAGTGCTGGTGCCGCACAGTCAGAGGGTCTGGGCTGAGGTTAGGACAAAAGTGAGTCACTTAATTTACTTCCGGGATCTGGATGTTATGTTTCATAATTCCAGGGTTTAACCTTTGGATTGGTTCCAGGACGTGTGAAGTTCTGTACTCTTTTCAAATTAATTTTCTGGGTTGGAAGATAAATACTCTAGTTTCTCCTACTTTGTTTTCATCACCTGAGACTAAGAGAGTAAAACAAAAAGCTTTAGGCCATAAGATGAAGCAACCATCTTGGTCTGTTTGGTATAATTGTCAACACAGTGTTGATTTATGGTCATATATTTGGAATATCGTCTTAGTTGCTGCAAAATGTAAGTGCATAGTAAGTCTATATGGCCTAAAGTTAGACTACCAAACATCTTGGCGCATGTTCATAAAACTCAGGTACTTGCTCAGCATAGCATCTTCTTTTCCTCACGGTGAACCACCTTCATGAAACTAACCTGATGTTACTGAATGGATTTAATGAATTTTCTGTTAGCATTATCTCAGCAGATAACACTTAGATTTTCCAATTCAATGTGTCAAGGGGGCAACTAGTTCTAATTTAATTCTAATCAAAAAGTCATATATGATTTCCAAGTGGAACTATGAATATCTGTAATTAGAAGTCGTTATTTTGCTTAACTGTTTGGTGGCATTAGAGTATGCAAAAAGGTGAACGTTTTCTGTTATACTTCTACTGGAAGCTAAAACCTTACAAATACAATTTGATGTCTAAATACTAGAAACAAACATGAATATGTCTGTTCAAGATCCTCATTCTCTTTTTCTGGTTTCATCTTCTACTCACAGCCCAAGGGTAGCATTTTGTGGATATAGCATCCCTCATCCTGCTGATAACAAAGTCAACATAAGAGTTCAGACTACAGGTATTGTATCGTGTCATATGATCCTGATATTTTATTTGTTAATCCCTGTGGACTTAACTGTTGCTTTTGTACATGCTTTATGTTGATTAAATTTGCAAGAATCACATCCTATCTGCTACTTCCTACAGTTGCGTCTCGAGTAGGTAGTTGGTTTTCTAATGCCTAGTATTTGTAAATCTATCTTCATACCAGATGTTCCAATGTGTTGGGTAGCTTATTAGGTCGCCTTTCCTTTACAAATTGTACATCTAGATATCAGATAGTGTTGTTGCTTCCATGGTGTTGGCAGACACAGCTAGATTGATGTTTCTGTTTGGATTAAATTCAATTCCAATACCGGAACTATCAATGCCGTCTCATTGCCCACTAACCACTTCCCAGTTTCACTATCCGTCTAATCCCCTGAAGAAAGCGCTCACGCTATTCTGATGTGTCTTTGTTGTGCTGTCAGGAGATCAAGCAAAGGATGTAATGAAAGATGCTTTACAGGACTTGATGGTGATGGGCCAGCATGTTAGAGGGACTTTTGACAAAGCAGTGGCTGATTTTAAATCAAAGATGCCTGCAGAACAAATGGATGTTGATTTGAATCAGCAATGAAGCTGGAGCCCCTGTTCATCGGGAGCAATACAATATGTGTAACTAGTTTATTGTCGGAATGCGGGTTAGTTGCGATTTCTTCCATTTGAGGTGTCTATGGGTCAATGTCTGGAAATTGTCTTTAGAGAAGTATGTACTGTTACCGAGTTCCTTTGTTGAACACTGGAATGTTGGAGTTTGCTATGAATTTATAATTAACTCAATCTCCAAGAAGGTTTTTAAAGGTGGTCCAAACACTCTGGAATTGGGTTCAGAATCACCAATGGCACAAGAGCAATCAACGTGAAAACTCTTGGCACTCTTTGGATTGCAGGAATTTCGTAAGATCCTTTCTGTAAGGTTCCAGCCTCCCGAATTCCAGGCTCTTTGGATCTTAAAAATGATGGTACGATCCTTCCAGCCTCTGGAATTTCAGGCTCTCCGAATCTTAAAAATGATGGTACCAATTTCATAGGATTTTGCCTCTAATCGATTTAATTTTGAGTTGATGCCTAAATTCTGTAGGAATTTTGGTTTCACTGTGATGTCATGTGCCCCACTCTTTCTGTAAGGTTGAACTCAGGTGCTGTACTTTTAAAACACATCACGTTCACCATTTTCGCAATTTTCAGCGAATTTGTTGCCCAAAGCAGAAGTTGATTGCATGAGTTCACCACAAATGGTGATTACATATCATGAGCATGTCGCCATCTGGCTTGCTTTCCAGACCAAATGCATATAACAACCTTTTAAGGGCAACCACTCAGAGTATGTGGGTCATCTTTCACATTTTTTAAAGTTTAAATCGTGGCAACAACGTCAAGGTGGTAGCGGCGATGGCATGTTGGAATAAGGTTTCTTCGATTTTTCTTCCTATGTTGTATCGTTCTTATCTGAATAAAACAGTTTTGTGTTCTAAAAATTCGCCCTCGTGAAGCTCTGCCAGTGCATGTATGTACTCACATTTTGCAAAGTTTGAATCAGAAGCACAGCCATACTGGCGTGCAAAATATACAAGTATATCTTCCCAAATGAGATAAATCTACTCACAAGAAGTGTATCAAATGAAACGAGATGGCACAACTTGCAGAATTTCACAGTGAAGTTGCAGCATGTCAACACCAAGTCCCAACTCTGGATAATGCTAATACTTTATTTGCACTACCTTATTGAATCACCAACGATAAAACAAATGAGTTCTCAAGGATGTGGCACATTTAAAAGCATCTGTATCAGATGCTAACTAGTGCTCCACATTCCACTGACAAAGCAATGCAGACTATGGCTAACATGCATGAAGAAAACAACATAGAGAAACAAGACCACAGGAACAAATTAGAACCCTAGGATCCGAAATGGTACAGGGATGCACGAACAGCATCCAGAGCTACAAATAAAACACTAAACACCTCCGACTGGTCGAGCATCAACAATGGCAGTGAGCTGAGGATGACCACCAGGTGCATATTCCCAAAGAATGAAGATCAGATCCACAGTTATTAGCCTTTCCAGAGTTATTCACCAAGTGATAGGGGCACAATTCCAAATGTGCTGCTCCTTTCCTGATGCATTCCTTTAAGGATTCTTGACGCGAATTCACAGCCACAAAAGAGTGGTCTAGGAGTGGTTTGGAACTCACGAGAAAAAAAGGCTGAAAGAACTAAGTACGAAGAGGCCCAGAGACGGCGTCACGCCCAGAGTTGGGGTCTTTTTGTTTCAAAGACATACTTGCAAACTGCGAGTCAAGGTCTCTGCTGTTACTACGACCAAGAGTAGGAGGCTGTGGTGGCTGTTGCTGCTGCTGATACAATGACCTTAGACGACCAATTTCCCGCTCAAACATCTCCTGTTGAACTGCAATATTGGAGTAGAACAGTCAGACCATTCCATTTTTCTTAATTTTTTAGCAGAACAAAATCTCATGGCAGGGTGTTCAGCTTTGAGTAAATAAACTTAATACCCCAATCAAGATTTTCGAGTCGACGAGTCATTCTAGGGTAGCGACTGTTGACAAGTCGACCCTGCAGTTGAGTTGACCTTACAGTTACGACTCCACGACTAGTCGCGACTAGTCATTCGACTCAAAAACAGTGCACCCAATTAAACCAAATCTTGTGCAGAAGATGTTCGTACAATCTGATAATATCTCACTAACGCTACGTTTGGCACTGAGGTGGATTATGATAAATTGATAATCCAGCTTCTACAACTGGTGTTTGCCTTTTTTTTGTTAACTGCAAACTGAGCCTAAGGCAGCAATCTCTCAATTTCTTTTAGAAAATTAAGCTCCTCAGGTTACCAATGCGTTTCTTAGCTAGCAATCTCTCACTATCTTAGGCATGAAAGCCACGAAAAGTAAGCATACACAAACCACATGAAATACAACCACTAGCATGTGACTATGTATTTGAATGGACACATGCATTATATGAATTGTATGCATGAATATGCAGAAGCCTAACTTGAAATATCATAAGAACATATTTGTGCATTTAGAATTTCAGCGACCGATGGTTCCACCAGTCTTGTCCATGACACATGATATGTTCCAAGAACTTATCAAAGAACTATGGACTATTTGTATCCTCTACAAAGCTTGGCTAAGGTCCCAAACGTGCCTATTAAGGCCATGCTGCAACTTTAGCTTGGATAAGTGGTAGGTAATTTTGTTTCATGCCTTGCAAACTTCAAGGTTCATTAGGTCTTTGAAGGATAAAACGAATAGTAGTCGCCGTTTGAGTTCACTTAAAACATGATTGTTTGATATCAAACTTTTATGAGGATGCTTCAGCCTAAAGTTCAACCAGAATTCTTACTGACAAGACAGTACAACGTAAAGACATCTCTCCAGAATTTGAGCACCATCGATATTTAACAGTAGTTCATATTTCTCCTGTCCACAAGACATTGTATAGAAAATTCTAAACTTATTTATGCATGTACCCATCACTTAGACTTCTCACTGAGAAGACAGTATAGTGTAAACTGTAAAGATATCTCTTCAGAATTTGAACACCATCTATATTTAACACTAGTTTCATATTTCTCCTATCCAGAAGACATTTTATAGAAAACATACTTGTTTATGCATGTACTCAACTACTTGGTTGATCCTCAATCTTACCTAAGAAACTCATGTTATTGGTCCTCATTAACGTCACAGAAAGTACAACACCCCAACCTTCTTTTAAAAAGTATATGAATAGAACCTCAAAATGGTACTGTATCTCTAAAGTTCACTGAAGAGTTGCATTTGAATAATTTTTTAGTGAAATTTAATGCAATAGTAAAAAAAAACTTTTTGATGGGGAGCAGAAGTCCAAAATATGAAGAAAAAAAATACAAGTGGGCATACTTACCACGTTTAATTACTTGCTCCTGTGCTATACTCTCCAGCCTTTGCTTCAAGGCTTTGTTTTCCAAGTCTAGCATTATATTTTGTTGAGTAAGAAACTCCATTTCAGCAGACACTTCTATCCCTTCTGACTGCATTATTCAGACATAAAAAATTTCTGTTTGTCAAATACAACACTGCATTGTGGAACAGAAACCATTTTTTGTTGTGATGAGCTCACCTGTAATGATTGGACTTTACCCTCAAGCTCAGCAATATACTGAAGTTTTCGAACACGAGACCTCTGAGCATATTGCCTGCAAGAAATGTTGGTAAAAAAATATTAGATGCGTTAAAGTATGGAAATGTTTAACCATGCTATTACAACTTGCAGATTGGGAATCTTGACATATATATGTACGCTAATTAAAATTTTAAAAAATCTGATAAACCATAGTGCCTTAAGTCCAATCTAACTAGTATATAGGTAGCTATGCAATTGCAATGTCCGTACCATTGTCCATTAAGGATTTTACAATTATATATATGATCATGTCTGATTTAAGACTCATAAAGTTGAGGTGCAATTTTACAAGGAAGAATATTCAAATGTTGTTTTACATTTATGTTGCCATCGGACACTATCCATTCTGTCAGGTGTGACCACAACTAATGTGTGAAATAAGTACATATTTGTACTATTCTATCAGGTGTGAGCATCGGTGGTGGAGGGGGGAATGACATGAGCCAGGGCTGCCCTCATGTTTCCTAAGTGCATGCATGTCATCTTGGCAATCCTTAAAATCCAAGGAATTCTCTAGTATTGCATACTTTGGGCCCTCATTAATATTGTTAAAATATTCGATTCATTTGGCAGCCCTCTAACTTTAGTTCCTTGCTCCACCACTGGCGAGCATGATCAAATGTGCCACGCGACTATACAGAATTAGTAAAGGACTACATTGCTTGCTTTATCACGTTGAACTTCAGAATAGCAAAACCAGCAGAGCGTATTCTGATTTTAAAATCTAAGCTAACCATATTTTGACTTTAAAATATAAGCTAACCCACATCAAAGGGCTGGCCCTGCTGTATGTGGTCAAAATTTAAGTAAATGGATAGCACTCCCTGGCTATCATCGTTAATGATTCTCAATTGTTAAATTTCAGAACACAGATAAGTGTTGGAAGTGATAGCATGGATGCAATCATGCAGCAGGAGTATACTCACTGTTTAGCACGCTTGGTGTCCGCCTCCGATTGTGCATACTTTGGCAGCACACCATCCTTCCTCTCTGCCCCAAGTTCATCAAGAGCTCTTTTGTCCATGGCATGTTCATGATCCCTCGATGCACTCAGTGGCCCGTGATGCCCACCCAGCTTCTCCCTCACCAGCACAGGCGGCCCTGGCCTGTAACCTGCCAAATTCGGCATGCCTTGTTCCCACGGCCGGCCCTGCAGCCTCCCGTATGAGCTTGGCTTGGCATAGTACTCCTGCACACCACCCCATGGGGCAGCCTGCCCTCCTCCCCCCATCTCCTCAAAACCATTGGCAAATGCGCCAGAGGCAGCGCTTCCGTCGAACAGTGCAAAAGAGTCGCTCGACGACCTGCGGTGCCCCGCGCGGCGCACGGGCGTCTCAGGCTCGTCGAGCAGGTCGTCGAGCCACGACGGCTGCTCCTCAATGATGCTCTCAGACGACGTGCGCTGGTGGTGCCCATGGCCGTGGCCATGCCCAAAGCGGTGGTGCGTGGCGCCCTGTGGCCGGGCGATCGGGCCATGGTCCGCGTACGGGGACGGCGACGCTGCCGTCGGGAACGGGCTACGCGGCGGCAGCAGCGCCTGCTTCTGGAGTTTCGCGTTCGCCATCATCATCTGCTCGACCAAACTGCACACAACAGAGAGCACATCTGTGAGATTTGAGCAAATTTAACACTAAACTAACACGAACTTGCATCGAATCGAGGCGGTCCAATTCACAGCTCTACCCACAGATCTCAGCGAACGGCATGACAGAACAATTTTGCTTGTGTTCTTCTACGGCGAATTCGCGTCAAAGATTCGAATTTGCTTCGACCGCAAGCATCCAATTGTGCCACGAAGTGGTCAAGATCCGAGGTCCGCATAAAGGACCGAACCGGAGGGTGTCAATTGGACGAAGAAAACGCAGCAGAAACACACACGCATCGAAACAGCACGGCACAAATCGAGGCGGATCAAGAAGAGCAAGGCCGCACCAGGAACTGCAGAAAGAAACAACCAAAACCGCGAAAAATACTCACCAATTCGGCCGCAACTCTTCCGACCGCCCCACCCCAGATTTGCCGCAACCAAAGCCTCGCACTAATCCACAGTTATTCGTATTCGTTGGAGCTAATCTTCGGGGGATTAGAGCTTGCGGCGAGGAGGGGGGCGAGGGATGGGGGAGGAGAGTAGGAGACGAATGGAGAAATTGTATAGTACTGAGGGGAGAAAAAAAACAATTAAATAGTGTCTCGCTAGTGTTTTAATATTGCGGCAGCGACAAGAAATTGGTTTGCAGAAACTTTGATGAACGCCCGCCGTCGGATTGAGAGGCCCAACGGTGCCGAGAAATCTGGTGAGAATTATTGTCTTCGATGAGGGGAAGCAGGTGGCCGGTACTAGCGGCGGGAGATGTAAACGCTGTGCGTCCCCAAGGTGTGCCTACGTCAAATTTTGCTTATTTATGTGACCCATTTTTTTTGCCTATTATATCCGTATGACCCAAGTTCACAACCCGAGAATACTTTGTGCAAAGGAGCGCAAAATTGCGGAGAAACTCAGATAAGGTTCTACTCCCTCCGTTCTAAATTACTCGTCACAGAAATGGATGTATCTAAAACTAAAATACATCTAGATACATCCATACCCACGACAAATAAATCGGAACGGAGGGAGTACGACTGTTTTGGTTCGTTTCAGTGTTTGTAGTCATCGTTAGATGATAATGTAATTTATGTTACTTCTGGTGTTCTTTATATTGTCCGTACAATTGATGAATAGACCGGAAGTTTTTCCTGCAAAAAATAAAAATACTATGGACACTTTTAGCAAGCAATTGATTCCATTTACCAATGGTGTTTCTATGTTAGTTTTTCATCTCGTGAATATATTGTGGTGTTACATGTTTCCTTGAACCAAAGGAGTATTGCATTTGCTAGCAGGACATATTTGAGCCATACACACACAGGAGACATCAATCCAAGAGAAGAGCAAGAAAAGAGAATGGAATAATGTGCATGAGCTAGCAGTGGAGCTGGTGCATGTGGCAGAAACGCGGCGTTGTTGTTTAAGTGCAGCCCATATTGGGTAGTGGGGGCAAACAGAAAACAGAAAAACAACTCATGCCACCAGCCGGACAGCTCAGGATCCAGCTGCGACCACAACACCATCTGCTGCTGTCGTGCTGTCTTTATTCCACCCTTCCATTTTTCTCTCTCTACTACTTGCCCTCGTGGCTGCCTCTTCTTTTCATTTTACACCTCGTGGCTTGCTGGGAAGTGTATGGATAAATCCGGGTACATATGAATCCATTTTAGAAAACACATTTTAAAATGCCAAAAAATTCTGAAAAAAAGTGTGCGCTGACATCTTCATATTCTAAGTGTGCGTGGAAAGTTTCACGAAAAAACAATTTTTTTGTAGCCTGTGCAAAAAAGACAAAATATTGCGCCGTGAAACGCTATTAGAAGCACTAAAAATTGTCTTTTTTACGAAGCCAAAATAAAAATACTTTTTTTCACAAAATTTTGTGCCATGGACATATTTTTGCGAACATGTATGCACAAAATTTTGTTTAGAATTTTTGGACATTACAAAACACGTTAAAAGTACATTTTTGAAAAACAGGTTCATATATACTCATGTGCAGGACGTGCTGACTCGTGGCTTGCTGCGTTGATCCTTCGGTCCTTTCTCTCGTCTGATCACCCTCGTTGGCCAATTTGGGTGAAGGACAAAAAAGAAAAAGGCTCTTTTCCGCTGGCTCCAAAAAAATGTTTGGCTATATAGTTATCATATAAATTATTTTGATTAAATTGAGTCTTTTTTTGAATGAAATTGAGCCAACTTCAACCACGTACTCTTTTTTTTTCGGACACCACTATTGAGTTCCCACCCAACCTTGTCTTCATCGGTGCCATCATCTCTGGCTCATTGTGTATAGTGATCGGTGGCGCTGAATTAATCATTCTATCAATCACTTCTCATGGGATCTAATAATCCTCCATCATAGCCATCTCACTCCAACTAGCTCCCTTCCAAGTTTTTTGAGGTCGCCACACTCATCATCGTCGGT